AAAAATCTTCAGTTTGGTTCATTAATGGGCATCAATCACTAGCCTGAGACGAGAACCATGCAGTGAGGCACAAAGGTACCCATCTGAAAAGGCAGCACTTGGGAAGTAGGGGCAGGAGATCAGGAATCTAAGGACAACCTCAGCTACATAGCAGGTCTGAAGTCAATCAGGGCAATGACAGAGACCCTTCAAATAAAACAGAAAAAAGGCCAAAAAAAAAGTAAGGGAACACTTCCACAGAAGGAAGACACAACCATAACCTATTTCTATACAAAAATAGTTATTTACCTTCTAAGATTCAAGTGGTAGCCATTACTTTAAAAATAAACAAGACACAATAAAGAATATGGAAACCACTATTGAGAAATGTTACTCCAGTAAATTTAAATCCAAGTCCTATTCTCAATTACTCCAATAACTTAAGAATGACTGCCTCCAATGAAATTATTCAATGACTTTCTTAAAACACAAAAGACATCTGTGGGATGGAGAGATGGCTCAGCCAGTAAGAATGCTTGCATAGGACCTAAGTTCATTCAAATCCCCAAAAGCCATGTTAAGAAGACTGGCATAGTCATGCATATCTGCAACTCCAGGCCAGAGAAGGAGGGGGATGTTAGGGCGCTGGCGACCAGCATAGCTCCAGGTTCAGTAAGATACCCTGTCTCAAGGGAATAGCCCACCCAACTGTCTCCCTTTGACCTCCATGAGATCTGTGATTGTGTGCACAAGTGGGGGTACCTACACACATACATACGTAACACACATGCATACTTGCATGGATGCATACACATAAACACACACACACACAAAATAAATAGTAACTTGTTACTTGGGGGAAGGAAGATGGCACTTTATTCTATACTCACTGAGAAACCAAAATGAAATCTTGCAGTTTCTAAAGCCTTCCAAATCTGATGCTAAACCAAATTTTCCTCTCAATGCAGAAGGTTCTCAAAACTATAAACTATTTCCTACCTGTCTGACCGAATAGATGTACTAAAACTGAGTTTTAAAATGCCACTTTTCAAAGAAAGGGTATAATTCAATGGTAAATGTTTCTGCAACAAAAACTACAGAATCCTGAGGATTAATCCACAGCTGAAGGGGGGGGGAGGGGAGAGGGGAAGAGATGAAGAGAGGGAGAGAGGGAGAGATCTTAAAGGTATAGTGATACATGCCAAATATCCCAGTGTTCAGAAGCCAAAGAATTCCTCCAAGTTTGAGGCCAGTTTAAGACACAAAGTGAGGCCGGTGGTGCCTTTATTAATGCCAGCACTCCAGAGGCAGAGATAAGCAGACCTCTGACTTGGAGGCCAGAGATCCAGGTCAACCAAGGGTTACATGGAGAAACCCTATCTGGAAAAAACAAAAACAAAACAAAAAACCAAACATACAAAGTAACTAGCCAGCCAGGGGTACACAATCATTTCATTTCAAAACAAAAGAGAAGTCCTGCAAGATGGCTCAGCAGCTAAAGGCACTCCCAGCAAGCCTGAAGACCTCTTCAATCCCAAGATGTCTCTGACTTCCATATGGATAGACGCAAAAATACATAAACACACAATAAATAAATATAAAGAGAAAATTAAAATAAAAAATAAATATGATCCTGTTTATGTGAAGCTTTCCCCATAAAACCATGGGTATGCCTAAGTGGTTAAAAAAGAAAAAAAACACAACACCCTGGGTGTGGATTCACATATACCTACAATCCCCGTACTTAAAAGGCAGAAAATCAGGAGTCAAGGCCAGTTTGGACTACAACAAACCTTTCCCCAAAAGTAATAAAATAAATCCAACATATGTTAATCTATCAAATAAATGTTGATTTAACACCGAATACCTATTACTGACAAGATACTAGCGCTATCAAGGCATATCTAACTCTTGTGTACAACAATATCAGAAGAAAAACTTTACAGAGGTCATTCTGATTAAGGGTGAAGGTGCTTCCTGCCAAGCCTGACAATCTAAGTTCCGATTCCCAGAACCCACATCATGGAAAGAGGAACAGACTCTTGCAAGTTATCCTCTGAACTCTGCAAAGCAAATGTAAGTATAAAAAACTTTCAAAAAGACTATTTTAGCCAGGTGCATGATGATGTACACCTTTGATCCCAGCACTTGGGAAGTAGAGCCAAGTCAATGTCTTAAGAGACCAGCCTAGTCTACCAAGAGAATTCCTGGATAGACGGAACTACATAGTGGAGAGAAGCGATTCTGTCTCAAAAACAAAACAAAGCTTAAGATTAGCCTGATCTGAAACCCTGTCTCGAAAAACCAAAATCAAACAACAACAAAAAAAAAGACTAGCCTGATCTACAGAGTGAGTTCCAGGATAGCCATGGCTAGAGAGAAACCTTGTCTTAAAAAAAGGGGGGGGAGGGGCCAGTGGCGGTGCACACCTTTAGCCCCAGCACTGGGGAGGCAGAGGCATGAGGATCTTTTATGAGTTGAGGCCAGCCTGCCTGGTCTACAGAGCAAGGTCCAGGACAGCCAAGGCTACACAGATAAACCCCATCTCAATGCCCCCACCAAAGACAACTATTATATATTTTTACAGCCAGACATTGGTGGTACACACCTTTAATCCCAGCACTCAGGAGGCAGAGCCAGGAGAATCTCTGTGAGTTCAAGGCCAGCCTGGGCCACAGAGTGAGTTCCAGGAAAGGCACAAAGCTACACAGAGAAACCCTGTCTCGAAAAACAAAAAAAACAAACAAAAAAAAAAAAAAAAAAAGTTTTACTGAGGGCCATAGCCCTCAGGAAAAGCAACTAATTTTGCTCCATGTTCTAGAAATGGCTTAAAGACAACTGTAAAAACCTATATTCTTGAAGGTGGTGATGGCACATGCCTTTAATCCCAGCACTTGGGAGGCAGCAGCAGGTGAATGTCTGAGTTCAAGGCCTGCTTCACAGGGAAACAATCTCAAACAAAACTAAACTAAACAAAACAAACAAAAACTATATTCTCCAGGAAAATGTCATAAGGGAACAAGAGGCCATGCAAATGCTGTATACAGTTCTACTAAAAAGTTATCACCCTGCCAGGCAGTGGTGGTGCACACCTTTAATCCCAGCACTTTGGAGGCAGAAGTGGGTGGATCTCTGTGAGTTCAAAGCCAGCCTGGTCTACAGAGGGAGTTCCAAAACAGCAAGGTCTACAGAGGAACCCTGTCTGGTAGGAAGGAGGGACTATCACCTTCTGACTTGTACCTAGCTGTGACATACAGTACCCCGCTTTCAAACAGCATTTGTACATTTTTATAAAAATACCAATTTTTGCTAATTAACTACAATCAACCAACAAGTTTAGCTGGAGCTTCTACAATGAAAAGGCAAAACCAAACTTTACATTCATCTTAACAGGGGTATGCTACATAGAAGATATCAATAAGCCAACAATCAAAGCTACAAAACACCCATAGACAAATAACATATTAGAGGATGGGACTCCATCTATGCAGCTATGGAAAGGCCATCACGGGCTGCGAAACTTTGCAGTGGGGCTGGCTGCTTTGGCGTCAACCATGATCCTGTCAGTAAACCCCTCCCCCTCACTCCATGCTCTGCAAGCCCAATAAAGTCACTGGTTCCCCAGAATGAAAAAAATAAAATAAATTAAACAACCTACCTCGGACAGAACAAAAACAGAAACATTTTTAAATTTTCTAATTATTTTGCCAACAATGTCTGAGATAGTCTAAAGGCAAAATGAGTAACACCAAAGCATTTCTGGCTTTAAATGTGTCGGTACTTTCAGTTCCTCAAATATCCCAACTATCACCTTTTGGTCCTAATCACTCTCTAGATTCAGATCCAAATTCCTTCCTTACACCCTCTCTTCCTACCACAGCAATGGTTCATTCGCATCTTTCACGAATCACTGCCTTGTTACAAGATGTTCCCAAGGGCTCAGACGTCCTCCCCTAATTTAAAACTGATTGATCCTTTTAGATCAGCGCCGCGTCACCACCTCTCAAAAATAACTAAAGCATAGATTAACGGTTCCGTTAACAAGCTTCTCAGAAAGTACTGGCTTTACTTCTCTGTACACGTTCCTTTGATTTCCTAAGAAAATTAAGATTCACACGTTTCCCTATCAAACTGTCAAATTTCCAATATCCTTACTTTGTTACCTCTAATACTGGACCATAGACACTTAAAAGGGATGTGTTTAGTGGCTCTTAGAAGCCATGTTCTCAGCGTAAATTTTGGTTTCTAAGCCAGGAACCAAGACACAGGGTTTCAACTTCTCACACTTCGATTCCTTCCCGTCTTCTCTGGTTATTTTCTTATGGAATTCCAGGATGATCCTAGCTGTGTTTCCTCTGTCTACCATAAAATGATCAAGTACCCTGAAAGCTTGTGCAACTGAGAAAATCTGCCTTTTTTTTCTTTCTTTCTCCCGTCCGCTTCTCCAACCATCAGTCCTCAAAGAAAAACACTACACGACCGTGATTCAAGGAGTGAGCGGGTGACCCGATTTTATGCCAGAATCATTTCGTGCAAGAACCACCACCCCATCACCTAGCGGCTTGGAGACGCCTGCATCGCCGCGGCTTGGAGTAACAGGCCGGCGTCGAAGCCGACTCCGTTAAGAGCAGCCCGAAAGCGGCTGCCGACAAGACAGGGCTCTCCCCGGTGCAAAACTGCCAACGACAGCGCCCAGGGGGGCGAGAGGGACTCCCCTCCCACGTCCGCCTCCCCACTCCCGCCCCCGGAGTCCTCCCGAGCAAGCCGCTCGAGGGAGGCCCTCGGGTCACCACCCGGGACCTCGGCAACCCCAGCAGCCAGCGCGGAACAAAGCGCCGGTCCCCGAGTGCCAGAGGACGCCATTACGCGGGCAGCGGGGCCTGCGCCGGGCCGCCGAGCAGGCCCCGCCGCGCGGACTCGGCCCAGACCGGAGAGGCCCCGCGAAGACGCCGAGAGCCGGCAGAGCCGACCGCGGCTGGCTGGCGGACGGGGACGCGCGTGGGAGGGCGAAAGCCGCTTACCTTCGTGAGTCTTGGCGATCTTCGCCATTTTGTCCACTCGAACACACAGACGGAACTGGCGCTCCCAAGGACTTCCGCTCGCCGCCGCCGCCGCCGCCGCCACCCACCAACAGAGGAGCTGCGCTCTGAGCGTGCGCACACGGGGACGCAAGCCGCACTATGGCACGGAACTCAACGAACTGCCACCTAGATGGAACCGCGAGGTGCATGATGGGAGTGGGCGGGGCCGGGGCCCGCTCCCGGCGGCTTCCTTTAAAAAGCAGGCGAATCCCCGGAAGGACTACATTCTCCGGGGAACAGCTCCACCCCCAAGGAAGACCCTGTCTAGTCCGGCGGTGGTGGCACACGCCTTTAATCCCAGCACTGGGGAGGCAGAGCCAGGCGGATCTCTGTGAGTTCGAGGCCAGCCTGGGCTACCAAGTGAGTTCCAGGAAAGGCGCAAAGCTACACAGAGAAACCCTGTCTCGAAAAACCAAAAAAAAAAAAAAAAAAAAATGGATTCTACTGAGGCAATTAACAAAGGCTGGGACTGGAGTGGGACAGGAAGATCCAGAGTTCAAGGTCAGCCTCTGCTATGCAACCAGTTCGAAGACAGCCTGGGCTCCCAAAAGCCTCGCTAAAAAAAGAAAAAAAAAAAAAAAAACAACGAAAAGAAAGCCGGTTTCCACTTGACTCTGGAAGGTTGAATATTGAGTTGAGTGTCCTGAGAGGTCAGATTGTTTTAAAACTTGGGCTGGGGCATGGACACAAACACTGTAGTCGGGTGTGGTGGCTGGCACACACCCTTAAATCCCAGCACTTGGTAGACAGAGACAGGCAGATCTCCAGAGTTTGAGGCCAAAGCGAGTTCCAGGACAGATAGGACTACCCAAAAAGACCCTGTCTCGAGAGTGGGGGGGGGGGGGGGGGGGTGGCGAGCTTCCAGATTGCAAACAGTAGAAACTAGAAGAGACACCATTAGAAACTGTCTAGGAAGGATTAGAGAGATGACCCAATGGTTAAGAGCTGGTTGCTCTTCCAGAGAACCCAGATTCAATTCCCAACATCGTCATGGCCCCTCACAACTGTAACTCTAGTTCCAGGGTATCTGATGGCCTTATCTGGCCCCTGTGTGCACTGCAAGAATGTGGTGAGCATACAAAAATGCAAGCAAAAACATTTATACACATAGCATAGAAATTATATATATGTATATATATATATACATATACATATATATATACAGAGAGAGAGAGAGAGAGAGCCGGGCGGTGGTGGCGCACGCCTTTAATCCCAGCACTCGGGAGACAGAGCCAGGCGGATCTCTGAGTTCGTGGCCAGTCTGGGCTACCAAGTGAGTTCCAGGAAAGGCGCAAAGCTACACAGAGAAACCTTGTCTCAAAAAAAAAAAAAAAAAAGAAAGAAAAAAAGAAAAAGAAACTGCCTATGAAAACTTGCTGCATGGCCTTAAAATGAGGCTTATAGATATATGGGTAGGTTTTTAAGCAATGTTTCCTTCATGAACCTACTATTAAAGGGATTTGATATAGAAGAAACCCAAAATAATAGAATTGATGTTATTTATTTACCAATGGATTTGCTTAGGAGACATTAAACCACAGAAAGTAGGATTTAGCTAAGGAAATGCTGCCTCCAAAATACCCCAAAGGTAAGTAGAATGCTAACCAGGCCTGTTAGAGATAAAGTTTATGATGCTGTGATGTCAGTGTTTGTTCACCAGGATTGACCAGCCATTAGGCCCACCCCCATATCAAAGAACATGTCTCAAACAGGCAGCTCGAGGGGCCAGCGCAACACAGGGTCACAAGCAACCTTAAGTCCTGGTCTGCAATAAAGCCCCCAATTCTTTTCATGAGAAAAGCATAATTCTGCCAGGTGGGCAAGATGACCCCAGGTAACACTATTTGGAAAAGTACAACACTGGTGTACTTTTAAAACGTAAAATAATTCTGGCCGGGCGGTGTTGGCGCACACCTTTAATCCCAGCACTCGGGAGGCAGAGCCAGGCGGATCTCTGTGAGTTCGAGGCCAGCCTGGGCTACCAAGTGAGTCCCAGGAAAGGCGCAAAGCTACACAGAGAAACCCTGTCTCGAAAAACCAAAAAAAAAAAGTAAAATAATTCTGGCAATAACTTTGCTATTTAAATCCCCTATCTGCCTAAGTAGCCAGATTTGCAGGCTCCTGACTCTGTTTCGATTGTTCTAAGTGCAACCTGGGCCTGAGAGCTAAAAGAGATTTAAGGCTGATCTCATATGCAGAGTACATAGCCTGAAGTGGGTCTGAGTTATCAAGGTCTATTCAAGGCTGGCTCTTCTTTGGGCATTAGTCAGAGTCAGATGTGCGGCATTAAAGAGCCTGTTCCTCTATGATCCTCCAGGTATGCCGACTGTCTTTTCACTGGGAAGGCTTATTATTCTATAACAGATTCAAGCAGACATTTGTTGCATTTGGTGGTAACTGTAGGAGCTAAATATTTCCTGAAGTCCCAGAGTAATGATAAGCATCACTAAAGAGATCACCCAGAATTATCTTGTGAGTCCTCTTGTGTAAAAAGAAGATTTCCTCACTGGAGCCTACTTGTCTGTATGTTTGTCCCTGAAAGAATACTAAAATAATCTAATGAAGTAAGGGAAAACATTTACAGAAATGAAAGAGAGCTGGCCCCACAGGCCCCGCTGTTTGAACACTTGGTTCCTGGTCCGGGACATTGTTTGGGGAGGTGGTGCAGCCTTGCAGCAGGAGGAGGAAGGCCATTGCGGGGGACAGGCTCTGAGAGTTCATAGCCTCACTCTACCTCCAGATCGCTCTCCCTGCGTTGTGCTTGTGGTTGAAGCTGTGACCTCTCAGCTTCTTGTTCCTGCTGACATGCCTCCCCACCGCGGCAAATACCTTACTCCCTCGGTAATAGCGACTAGTGAGAACGGAACAGGTTTGTTTTTGAAAGCAGTTTGTTGTTGTTGTTTTGAGGCAGTCTCAGTGTGTATTCGTGTCTGTCCTGAGTCCCACTAGTTCCTTCTGTGAGTCTGCTTCTCTATCAAGTAAAACATTGCAGCCAGTCCCACGAGGCCCTCTGGATACGGAAGACGGTTGTTTGGCTTGAACTGTTTGGGGGGCACCCAGGCAGGGGGGTCGGGATCTGTCCCTGGACTATGGGTAGGCTTCTGGGAATCCGGTGCCTGTGGTGTGACACCTTGCACAGCCTTGGTGCAGTGGGAAGGAGCTTGGACCTGCCTAGGCTCAGTGTGCTGGGCTCTGCTGACTCCCCATGGGAGACCTCCATTTGGGGCATGTGGGGATGTGGGTGGTTTGGGAAAGAGGGCTGGAGGGTGGGAGGAGGGAGGAGTGGGGATCTGTGGATGGTATGTGGAGTGAATAGAAAATTTCTTTTTTTTTTTTTTTTTTTTTTTTTTTTTTTTTTTTTTTTTTTTTGGTTTTTCGAGACAGGGTTTCTCTGTGTAGCTTTGCGCCTTTCCTGGAACTCGCTTTGGAGACCAGGCTGGCCTCGAACTCACAGAGATCCGCCTGGCTCTGCCTCCCGAGTGCTGGGATTAAAGGCGTGCGCCACCACCGCCCGGCGAAAATTTCTTAATAAAGAAAAATGAAAAAAAAAATTGCAGCCAGACGACTGTTAACACATACCTTTAAACCTAGCAGTCTGGAGGCAGAGCCAGGTGGATCTCTGAGTTTGAGGCCAGCCTGGTCTACACAGAGAAACACTGTCTCAAAAAAATGTGTGTGTGTGTGTGTGTGTAAAAGGTTGGAGGCTTTAGAGATGACTCAGCAGTTAAGAACACCAACTGCTTTTTCAAGAAGACCCAGGTTCAATTCCCAGTCCAAAGGGAGCTGATGCCCTCTGGTTTCCATGGGCACTGGGCACACACATGGTGCACATATATACATGCGGAATTACAGGATGGAGACATCTGCGGTCCACCTCATATAAGATTTATTGCAGCAAAGGTAGTCTATAAGCAGAATAGCACACAGAGCCAGAGTACCCTGTGTGGTGATACTTTATTTGTACTGAAATGTGATATTTTACTTGTATGTTAATAAAGTTCGCCTGAAAAAAAGAGATATATAATTTTATATCAAAATTTATAAGATTAATATATATATATTTTAAAGTTTTGATATATTAATGGTCATATAGAGTAATAACTAATTGTAGAAAAAAGGCTTCAATTAGCTGCCTATACATGTTTTTGTGTTCGAGTATCTTATCAGTTTTCTGCAGGAAATCACAACCAGGCCTAACATCAAATTTGAAGTCTCCAGAAAGATTACGGGGCCCCACAACAATAATTCCACGTGGACAATAATAATACTACTAAGCTGACAAGCATCACTCACAGATCAGCTTTGGACTACAAACTGCTCAGAACAATTTTGAGATGGCTAGCTGAGATGATTCAGTTTCACAGACTACTTGAACAAGGACTTGAGATAAGCCTTGAACTTTGACATCATGCAGAGACTGGAAACAAATGATATAGCTACCTTTCCTGGAACTTGACAATTAACCCAATTTTTTTCTTTTCAGAATCCCCTAAAGATGCCTTTGCCCACAACCAGCAGGAAGCAATTTTAAGCACACAAACCCACATTCCCAAAGAGGTGGTGTGGTTTTTGGTCTTTCAATGGGTTTTGGGTTTGGAATAATTTTTATTGTTTAGGAGGGTTGGTTACAAGTTGTTGTTGTTAATGGTTAGGAAAAGGGCTAAGCAAAGGAGATTAGCTTTAAGGTTCCTTTTTGAAAAAAAAAAGATATATGGAAATGATAGAATAGAGGGTAGTTTATTGAGTCTACTCTGAAAAGTAAAGAGAGGATATAGATACAATATAGATTTTAAAAAAAGGTAGATTATTGAATCTACTTTTAAAAGACAATTACTAGTTATAAATACTTTACATTGGATTGGATTTTTATATATTGTATACAAATTATATATATTGAAATTGAGCTTGTTAGAAAATGCTGTACGTATATTTCTAATCCTGTTCAAGATATTATACTTATACTGTTCGTTTAACAATGTAATGCAATTTGCTGATCCTTAAATGCTATTATTACCAACTATTAGGATATAAAAAAAATGAAAGTTAGTAGTTAGACATTACAATCGAACTTGTCATATTAGGTGTGTTTTCAAGGCT